CTGGAACCTGTCGTCAGCGGAGTAGGTGAGGTCACCTACTGTGAGGATGTGTAGGTCTCTACCCCTCATCCACGTCACCTGAAACAGAGAACCTATTTAGTTTACCTGAAGAGCACCTAGCTAGTTTACCTGTGGATCATCTAATTATCTTACCTGTGGGGCACCTTACTAGCTTACCTGTGGAGTACCTAATTAGTTTGCCTTTGGGGCACCTAATTAACTTACCTGTGGGTCAACTAATTAGCTTACTTGTGGAGTACCTAATTACATTACCTGTGCAGTACTTAAATACTTTACCTGAGGGTTACCCAATTAGCCTTCCTTACCGGTGCCTAATTAGTCAGCCTCATGGGTACATAATCAGTCTACCTGAGGAAGAAAATTCACCAAACTAAAGAAAATAATTAACCTAACTTAAGAGAGATTTTCTTTTAGCAACACAGAAATACATTAGATTAGTTAGCAATGCATTAGATTAGTTAGAAATACATTAGATTAGTTAGAAATACATTAGATTAGTTAGAAATACATTAGATTAGTTAGCAATGTATTAGATTAGTGAGAAATACATTAGATTAGTTAGCAATGTATTAGATTAGTTAGAAATACATTAGATTAGTTAGAAATACATTAGATTAGTTAGAAATACATTAGATTAGCTATGAATACATTAGATTGGTTAGAAATATATTAGATTAGTTAGAAATACATTATATTATTTAGAAACACATTACATTAATTATGAATACATTGGATTAGTTAGAAATACATTAGATTACTTAGATATACATTAGATTAGTTATGAATACATTAGCTTACTTAGATATACATTAGATTTTTTAGAAAAACACTAGATTAGTTATGAATACAACAGATTAATTAGAAATATAATAGATTGGTTAGAAATAGATTAGTTAGAAATGTATTAGATTAGTTAGAAATGCATTAAATTATTTGAAAATACTTTACATTAGTAAGAAATACATTAGATTAGTTAGAAATAGATTAGACTGATATTTATTGTATTAGTTAGATATGTATTAGATTAATTATAAATACGTTAGATTACTTAAAGATGCAGTAGATTACCTAGAAATATATTAAATTACCTAGAAATAAATTAGATTACCTAGAAAAGCTTTAGTCTGTTAGCTGGAGTGTAAAAAGTCAAGTAGGTAAAGAATCTACTCTGTACAGTACAATAATCTACGAGGTAGAAAAGCAATCTACCAGCTGGTAGTGTTATTCAAGTCTTGGCTACGTTCAGTAATGGTCGGTAAATCCTGCCTGGGGTAATCCCAAGGTACGTTAAAGTTAATATTATAAGGTAAATCAGGTGTGAGGGGATTACCTGCAGATTTAGTTATTAAATTCTGTGGTTAGAAGGTGAGGTGTGAGGAAGAAGAGGAGGAGGGGAGGGGTTGGGGAGGAGGGAAGAGGAGGAGGAGGAGGAGGGGGGAGGGTTGGGAGGAGGGAAGAGGAGGAGGAGGAGGAGGGGGGAGGGTTGGGGAGGAGGGAAGAGGAGGAGGAGGAGGAACACTCGAAATAATAATAATAACAATAATAATAATAATAATAATTATCATTATTATTTATCAATAGTAGTAGCAGTAGTAGTATGCATGGGAAAGCGCTAAACCTGTAGGTGTTATTTAGTGCCAGTGAAGTGAAAGGCAAATGAGAAGAGACGGAGCAAAACCCAGCTCCAGCTCCTTGGATCAAGATATCCCATCCTCGACAAGAGGTACAAGAGGAGAACCCTCGTCCTTCACTCCCTGGGATGAAGAACTCACCGATCTCTCCCCCAGCATGTGGACGCGGCAGGGCAGGTAGGCCGTCTGGCCGGAGATGACAGTGAAGTTGGTGGGCGTGGTGGTGGTGAAGTATGGGCGTGGTGGTGCTAGCCACCACGCTCCTCCCACGCCCATCGCACCTCCTGCTACTCCTCCTTCTTCTCCTCTTCCTCCTCTGCCTCTTCCTCTACTTCCTCCTCCTCGGCGGTGCAACGCTAGACCTGTAAGACCAGACACAAGGTTCTTAATAATAATAATTATAATAATAATAATAATAATAATAATAATAATAATAATAATAATAATAATAATAATAATAATAATAATAATAATAATAATAATAATAATAATAATAATAAAAGCAACAACAACAACAACAACAACAACAAACAATAACAACAACAATAATAATAATAATAATAATAATATAATAATAATAATAATAATAATAATAATAATAATAATATTAACAATAATAATAATAAAATAATAATAATAATAATAATAATAATAATAATAATAATAATAATAATAATAATAATAATAATAACAATAATAATAATAATAATAATATAATATTAACAATAATAATATAATAATAATAATAATAATAATAATAATAATAATAATAATAATAATATTAACAATAATAATAATAATAATAATAATAATAATAATAATAATAATAATAGTAATAATAATAAAAGCAACAACAACAATAACAACAACAACAACAATAACAACAACAACAACAACAATAATAGTAATAATAATAATAATAATAATAATAATAATAATAATAATAATAATATAATAATAATAATAATAACAAATAATAATAATAATAATAATAATATAATAATAATAATAATAATATAATATAAATAATAATATAATAACAATAATAATAACAATAATAATAATAATAATAATAATAATAATAATAATAATAATAATAATAATAATAATAATAATAATAATAATAATATAAAAGTCTAACTTTTCCTATTTTCTGTTTAAGTTTCGAATATTTAAAAAAATATATATTTGAGTTTCATAGACAAAAATTTGAAGATAATTTGTCACTTTTTTTTATTCTTGAGGGGAGACTGAGGGGAGACTGAGGGAGACTGAGGGGAGACTGAAGGGAGACTGAGGGGAGACTGAGGGGAGACTGAGGGGAGACTGAGGGGAGACTGAGGGGGAGACTGAGGGGAGACTGAGGGGAGACTGAAGGGAGACTGAGGGGAGACTGAGGGGAGACTGAAGGGAGACTGAAGGGAGACTGAGGGGAGACTGAGGGGATACTGAAGGGAGACTGAGGGGAGACTGAGGGGAGACTGAGGGGAGACTGAGGGGAGACTGAGGGAGACTGAGGGGAGACTGAGGGGAGACTGAAGGGAGACTGAGGGGAGACTGAGGGGAGACTGAAGGGAGACTGAGGGGAGACTGAGGGGAGACTGAGGGGAGACTGAGGGGAGGACTGAGGGGAGACTGAGGGGAGACTGAGGGGAGACTGAAGGGAGACTGAGGGAGACTGAGGGGAGACTGAAGGGAGACTGAGAGGGAGACTGAGGGGAGACTGAAGGGAGGACTGAGGGGAGACTGAGGGGAGACTGAGGGGAGACATGAGGGGAGACTGAGGGGAGGACTGAGGGGAGAACTGAGGGGAGACTGAAGGGAGACTGAGGGAGACTGAGGGGAGACTGAGGGGAGACTGAGGGAGACTGAGGGGAGACTGAGGGGAGACTGAAGGGAGACTGAGGGGAGCTGAGGGGAGACTGAGGGGAGACTGAGGGGAGACTGAGGGGAGACTGAGGGAGACTGAGGGGGAGACTGAGGGGAGACTGAGGGAGATAGGGAGACTGAGGGGAGACTGAGGGGAGACTGAGGGGAGACTGAGGGGAGACTGAGGGGAGACTGAGGGGAGACTGAAGGGAGACTGAGGGGAGGCTGAGGGGAGACTGAAGGGAGACTGAGGGAGGACTGAGGGGAGACTGAGGGGGGAGACTGAGGGGAGGGGGAGACTGAGGGGAGACTGAGGGGAGACTGGAGGGGAGACTGAGGGGACGAGACTGAGGGGAGACTGAAGGGAGACTGAGGGGGAGACTGAGGGGAGACTGAGGGGGATGGGAACTGAGGGGAGACTGAGGGGAGACTGAGGGGAGACTGAGGGGAGGGAGCTGAGGGGAGACTGAGGGGAGAGCTGAGGGAGACTGAGGGGAGACTGAGGGGAGACTGAGGGAGACTGAGGGGAGACTGAGGGGAGACTGAGGGGAGACTGAGGGGAGACTGAGGGGAGACTGAGGGGAGACTGAAGGGAGACTGAGGGGAGACTGAGGGGAGACTGAGGGGAGACTGAGGGGAGACTGAGGAACTGAGGGGAGACTGAGGGGAGACTGAGGGGAGACTGAGGGAGACTGAGGGGAGACTGAGGGGAGACTGAGGGAGACTGAGGGGAGACTGAGGGGAGACTGAGGGGAGACTGAGGGGAGACTGAGGGGAGAATGGAGGGGAGACTGAGGGGAGACTGAGGGGAGACTGAGGGAGACTGAGGGGAGACTGAGGGGAGACTGAGGGGAGACTGAGGGGAGACTGAAGGGGAGACTGAAGGAGACTGAGGAGACTGAGGGGAGACTGAGGGAGACTGAGGAGACTGAGGGGAGACTGAGGGTGAGACTGAGGGAGACTGTGGGACTGAAGGGAGACTGAGGAGATGAGGGGAGACTGAGGGGGATTTGAGGGGAGACTGAAGTGAGACTGAGGGGAGGCTGAGGGGAACTCTGAGGGGGAGACTTTGAAGTGATGAGGTTAAAAGAGAATATTTCAGAATGAAGAAGAGTAACACTCCTCAAGTAAGTCAAGGTAAAACCGAAATTGATGTTTGTTAGTTTTAGTGTAGTTTGTGTGGTGTGTGTGTGTGTGTGTGTGTGTGTGTGAGTGTTGTGTGGTGTGTGTGTGGTGTGTGTTGTGTGTGTATGTGTGTGTGTGTGGTGTGTGTGTGTGTGTTGTAGATTATCTTCCAAAGTGGTCAGAGGTGACAGAGGTGCCGCGGGCTACACTGCCTCACCTCCGCCATTATTCTTGGCCTCAGTTTTCAATAAGCGGCTACAAAACACAGCTGCACCAACACACACACTGACGCAACACTATTGTCAACACCACATTTTATTTCACATTCTCATTAATATTCTTTTTAAACCCTCTGGTGTTGCACATTGATGTGCTAGCAGGTCACGTTATCACAGAGCATTGATGACGTTGATATCTTGTTGAATGTTATGTATCATATATAAAATAATATATATATATATATATATATATATTAATATATATTATATATATATATATATATATATATATATATATATATATATAAAAACGTTCAATTTCATGACCACAAAATAAACTGGGAACACGCACGTTTAATTAATAATGCAAGGTGTTGTCGATCATATATTACTGTAGGAATGTAAAGGTTCGTTTATTTGTAGTGTTGTGGAACATTAGTGGATTATTGCAGCCAGCCAGTGTTGACACTCTGTAAGTTGCATGAATTTATAGTCCCACAGTGTTTCTTAACTTCCCACACTAAATACACTGGTTCAGTTCCCACAGTATTTCTTAACTTCCCACACTAAATACTCTGGTTCAGTTCCCACAGTGTTTCTTAACTTCCCACACTAAATACACTGGTTCAGTTCCCACAGTATTTCTTAACTTCCCACACTAAATACACTGGTTCAGTTCCCACAGTGTTTCTTAACTTCCCACACTAAATACACTGGTTCAGTTCCCACAGTATTTCTTAACTTCCCACACTAAATACACTGGTTCAGTTCCCACAGTGTTTCTTAACTTCCCACACTAAATACACTGGTTCAGTACCCACAGTGTTTCTTAACTTCCCACACTAAATACACTGGTTCAGTTCCCACAGTGTTTCTTAACTTCCCACACTAAATACACTGGTTCAGTACCCACAGTGTTTCTTAACTTCCCACACTAAATACACTGGTTCAGTTCCCACAGTGTTTCTTAACTTCCCCACTAAAGTTCCTGGTATATTTTTGTACTACAGTTGTACTTTATTACTGAAATAAATGTCAGAGATGAATGTTGCATGTGTCCAGACACTTTTGTGATGAAGACTGACAATGGTGTTATATATACAATCAGTCTTGGTCAATAAAGTCATGCACTTTGTAAGTCTTGGTACACATTATCAATTCTGGTAAATATTAATATTGGTATACATCAGTTCTGGTACACATCATGAATTATGGTACACATCAATTCTGGTACACATCATGAATTATGGTACACTTCAATTCTGGTACACATCAATATCGGTACACATCAATCCTGGTACACATCAATCCTGGTACACATCATCCACTCTGGTACACATCAGTACTGGTATACATCAATCCTGGTACACATCATCAGTTCTAGTACACATCAATACTGGTACACATCAATCCTGGTACACCTCATCAATTCTGGTACACATCAATACTGGTACACATCAATACTGGTACACATCAATTCTGGTACACATCATTAATCCTGGTACACATCATCAATCCTGGTACACATCAATCCTTATCAATAACAAAAAAATGGTGTGATGTCTGGGTGTATGTAACGGAGAGGTGTGTATGTCTGTATACATACACACACAAACTGAGATTTTAATGTAATCCATTTCGGGGGATTACAGGATTCCAGGTGGTTGTGTACACGTGAATTACAGCCTTACTGACTCAGGTGTAAGTTACAAACACACACACACACACACACACACACACACACACACACACACACACACACACACACACACACACACACACACACACACACAAAGTTGTCTGCAGTGTCACTATCACTCACCATCACTAAATAATGTTCACTATCACTCACCATCACTAAATAATGTTCACTATCACTCACCATCACTAAATAATGTTCACTATCACTCACCATCACTAAATAATGTTCACTCTCACTCACCATCACTAAATAATGTTCACTACCACTAAACACCCTTCGCTATCATTCACCATCACTGAATACTGTTCGTAATCACTCACTATCATAAAATACTACACACTCTCACTAAATATTCCTCACTGTTACCCAACACTACTCGCTATCCCAAATCACTCCTCACTATCACTAAACACTCCTCACTATCACTCAGCACTCCTCGCTATCACCA